TGCCTGGTAGCATGCATTTTCTGTCTCAGGTGAACTGTATAATTTATAACATCTTTCACCTAAATGCTATAAAAAATGCCACAGTTCTCTGTATTTGGGTCATCTCTGGGGATAACTGAAAGCTGAGAGGGTGACTTTATAGAGAAGATGGTGCCTGGAGGGTAGGGAGTGAGAGGCAAGTTGTTAGTCCGAGGAAGCACAGTTGTGATGGCTCCTGGTGAAAGAAATCATGCAAGACCAGAATTCAGAATCTGAAGAGCTGATGCATATCCCTGAGACTATCTCCCATGGCTTTTGTGACTTTTAGTTGTAATGTTGACCACAGAAGCCCAAATACTACAACTTACACCCACAGGTCAGGGTCAGGAACACTGGCAATTCTATGTTCTTCCTTGTTGTGACTGACCTTGGATTCTAGGTCTGTGGTGAGCAGTATTTGCATTTTATCATCACAAGTGAGAAGTCTGAACAAGTTAGAGTGCAAATGAAGAGTCACCATCTCTCTTTTTCTGAATGAGGTCCAGGGATGCTACAGACAAAGCCAACATCTTTCTAGAAGCAGCATTTGGGTGTTCAAGTGCTCTGACAGGTGTCTAGGTATCTGCACTGTAGAGAATGAAAAAGTTATCTTAGCCTGGAAAATGCTAAGATCCAGTATTACTGAAGCCCTGTCCGGGCCCTGAGTGATGAAGACGTGTCTCAGATTTTGAGCACCACCACCCCCTGACAAAGTGGGCTGCCAGGGATGTTTACTGCAAAATGTAATCTCCGGTACCTATGCTAATCTGCTTCCTGAAGGAGGATAACACTGCCCCATTTGTGTTTTGCTGAGAATGTTTCAGAGTTGAAGATTTTTATTTGGGTCTGTTTTTTTTTTTTTTTTCCAATTTACTCTTTCTAAAAATAATTAAACTACAAGATTGGGTTCAGGGGGTGCCATTCCTTTTGCATGCAGGGACATCCGCCCTCAGGATGGATGGCTGTTGCCCTTCCTCTTTCATTCTGGTAGAATACTCACCATCCAAGTCTGTGTTGTTGTTCGTTGAGGCAATACATGATTCCATCACAAAGGTAGCTGACTTCTCCCTTTCTGTGGGAAAATCAAGAACAAACTACCCCCGAAAGCATTTACACATTTACTTGGAGTTCTGAGGTATGACTATCTTGATCTGAATTTCTTAGAAGAAGTCAGATAGAAACCCTGAGACACTTCAGAAAAGTCTAGAAACACAGGGAGGGTTTTTTTTCTGTTTCTTTGTTTTTATAATTCATTGAAGGTTATCCAATCTGCTGAAAAAATGGAAGGGTAGGAGAGATATAATATTTAAATTTAGAAAATCTCGGTTCTAGTTATAACTCTACTAATTACTAGTTGTGTGACCTTAAATACTTCACTTTTCTTGGCCTTAGTCTATTTTATTCATAAAATGCAAGATATTTGTAAAATGCCTGCTACAAGAATTTATTACGAGGTTGCAGGATCAAATGAGCTAAGGTTTACAAAAGTACTTTGTAAACTCCAACAGGCTTTGTGTATGTGTATGTGTATATGCAAATACTATGTAAATATACTTTAGGTGTATATTCCGAAGACCAGAGGGCTCCCCCTCAGCCCACATGCACCCCTGAGAGACTCTGCGAGCTGGTGCTCTCTTTGGTCAAGGCCGGGTCAGGCCACACTCTAACCCAAAGTGGTCCTGACTTAGACCTCAGGACCCTCATGGGGCCTGGGGAACGCTTCTCTCTGAAGGAAACACTGGAGCAGGCCAAGAGAGGGTAGATGTTGTCCCCTTGTGTGATGTCCCCTGCGAGAAAAGAAGAACGCACTTTCTCAGCTCAGTGTTCCCACTGACAGCATATGGATGTTTGACTTTGAGATTCTAAAATCTATGGTCTGCTTTCTGCTGTAGAATCCCTGCACTGAAGTGGTCCGATGTGAAACCTCTAGTTAGACCCAATAATCCAACCGTAAAGAGGAATCTTCTGCAATACAGTCCCTGTTCCCCTGCTGCCGGCGGCTTCGGAGACTGAGCCGCGGCTGGCCGGCGCCCCGGGTCCAGCTGAGCGCTGCCTACCGGAGGAGAGAGGCGGGGCTGGGCAGGGATGCGCTGCCTACCGGAGGAGAGAGGCGGGGCTGGGCAGGGATGCGCTGCCTACCGGAGGAGAGAGGCGGGGCTGGGCAGGGATGCGCAGGCCAGCGGAGAATAGCACGGACCCCACCACACTGCGCAGCCTGGAGAAGTCGCCTTTATTTCCCACCTCCGCACAGGGCTTCCCCAGGCAGAAGCCTGGACAGCCCGCGCCGGGCAGCCTCCTTTAGTAGTCTATGGTTTCTTTGTCCTTCTTGTTGAAGGGGTTGTAGGGTTTTACAGTTGTGACCAGTCGAGACAGGGGAGCCTGGTGACGGAAGAGGTCAACTGCCATTTCTTTCTGTAAGACGCTGAGGCAGCATGGGGAGAAAAGGAGGAAAATGAGACATAAAAGACATATAAAAACATACAACCTCATCCAACAAATGATACCAATGTGCGGGAAGGGGAAGAGAGCGCGCACTGCAGGCAGGGAGCGAGGATGACTCCTGCTGGGGAGCTCTCGGCTTCAGGGACTGCACCTCTGCGCTGCGCAGAGTTATGGTGGGTGCTAGGAATGGGGGTGATCTGCAGAAAGCCACCCAAGGAACCCGACCGCATCGTGTCTGGGGAGGGCCCAGGGCACGCAGGCGAGAGCTCTCCGGGCTGGGCGGCCGTGGGAATTAAAAGGAGCGTCCTCCGAAGAGGAGTGAGAGGTGGACAGACAAGGCACAGGGAAGCCAGGACAAGACATGGGGCGGGCAGACCTCGCTCAGAGGGTAAGAGGGAACATACTTGCGTCACTCAGAGGCCTGGAGAAGACATGAGTGACATGGGAGTGGGGAACCCGGGCCTCACCCAGTGGCCAAGAGGAAGCATGGGTGGAGTGGGCCAGGGCCTCACCCAGAGGCCCCAAGAGAAGACACCCCTGCCTCACTCAGTGGCCAAGAGGAAGCATGGGTGGAGTGGGCCAGGGCCTCACCCAGAGGCCCCAAGAGAAGACATGGCTGGGTCACTCAGAGGCCAGGAGAAGACATGGGTGGGAGGGGCCCGGGCCTCACCCAGAGGCCAAGAGAAGACATGGGTGGGTCACCCAGAGACCTGGAGAAGACATGGGTTGGGGGACCTGGGCCACACCCAGAGGCTGGGAGAAGACATGGGTGGCAGGAATTCAGGCCTCACCCAGAGGCCAGGAGAAGACATGGCTGGGTCACCCAGAGACCAGGAAAAGACATGGGTGGGAGGGGCCTGGGCCTCCCGCAGAGGCTGCTGTTGAAGGGTGAGCAAGGCCTGGTGTACAGGACTTTACTGGCTCTGCCAGAGCATTTAAGCTGCCTGTTCCCACAGGAGGCTCATGACTGGGCTTCATTTTACTTTGCTTGTATACCCAGTAGGAACAAATTTGCCCTATCAAGTTTGGTGTGATAACTAAAATAATTTTGTTTAAAAAAGCTTTGAAAATGTGGAATGCTTTGCAAGTGATGTTTTATCCCCTTGGGTTACTGGCATTCCCAAACTCCCTATTCTGTCTGGAGGTGGCTGTCCCAGTATCACAGGAGTTGGGCCAGCTATTATGAGCAACCCCACAAGCCCATGGCCTGAAGTAATTTTGCTGTGAATTTGCTGCTATTTGAATCACACACGCAATGCAGTGCTTGTATTAGCAGTGAGTTACAATGCTGGCATGGGAGATTAAAAAATTAAAAATAATTAAAATTAACCCTCTATATAGCGACTCCGTCAAAAATAGCTTTGTTTTATGCTATGATCACCTTGAACTAATATTGTATTTTGCTTTATATATATAAATACACACACATACACACACACATATATATATTATATGTTGTGAGAAATGGCTGCAGAGGTGGGAAGGCAAGTTTCTGTGAAGGTTACATTCTGGTGGGAAGGTGTGGGCAAGAAACACTGGACTGTCCTGGAAAAAGGGAGCTAGAAAAATCATTTGTGCCTGTGTTCCCCTTGCTCATGACTTTGGAGATTGGTCACATCGCTTCTTCTCCACCTCCAATACACCCCATCTCCTCACTTCAAATCTCTTTCAACTGTCCCTTCCTCTCAGTTTACATTCCATCCCAATATTCATCCTGAGGCACTGTGGGGGCCCTATGTACTTTGCTCCAAATATGGTGTGGGAGTATATGGCCACGGACCCCTTTGTATCAACATTTGAGGCCCAAACAACTTAAAACCTCCAAACCACCAGTACAATTTTCTCAATTACAGAGATCCAGCCAAATGCACTGTTCCTTGTCTCTGCATCAAGAAGATTCAATGGCCTCTCTCTTGTCCCCCTTCCAGTGTACAGCCTGGCAGGCAGGAGCATGTCACTTGACTGCTGGTGTCAGAATCCAGAGCCAGGAGGTTCAGGTTCAGGAGAGAGTGGGCAGGAAGGAAGTGAAGGCAGGAGGCCTGGGAGATTAGCTGTTTGCTTTTTCAAGAAGTTTAGAGGTGAAAGGAACAAGAGGGGAGAACAGGGTGGCAGCTCACAGGGAAGCCACAGGAGACTTTGCTGGGGTTCTTCATAAACAACTGGCCAGCTGGGAGAGGCCAGCACAGCGGGGCAGAAGGGAGGAAGCAGGACTGATGGGAACACAGGACTCAGAGCTCAGAAATAATGATCAATATTTTAGAAAAGTAAGAGCATGTCTTCCTGGGGGAAAAGGGAGACAGCAGTGATGGAAATAGAGCCTGGCATGTGGAGAGGAAGAGGGGACACTAGCAGGGAAAATGAAAGGGTCACGTTGGGTGCCCCAGCAAGCAGGAGGCAAGGCCAGCTGAGAGGGGTGTGGGGAAAGGACTGGAAGCTCCTGTGGCACAGAGAGGTTTGAAGACAGCCACCACAGGAATGGCATTAGTTCTGAATAAGCGAGGAACCCATTGCAGAGGAGCAGTGAGAGTACAGTAGCAGCTAATATTCAGGAGTTCCCAGGGGATGCCCGTGTGAAGACGACTTCTTAGAAATAACAGGAAAAAATGCATCAGATCAAGCAGAAACAGTCAGAAGGAAGTTAGCTCACTACGTTCTCATGACACTCATCAGAGAGAGATCAAGGCTCATACTTTCACTGGAAAGTTTTAGAAAAATAAATTATTGTGTTAAATAAAATCAGAGTGATACTTCTTGATGTGAAGAGCCTGGAAGGCCCAATTTTCTGACCACAAGGGCCAGGCCTTCCTGCTAGAGGGCACTGTCCTTATGAAAGCACGGTGAGTTTTTACACGTTTTAATTCCCTTCTGCCCCTCTGCACTGTGCTTTTTCATGCCAGAAAAAGCCACCACTTGCCAGGAGCTGCTGTTAGGGCAGAAGGCAAAGGTGCAGGCCTTGACACCTGGGCCCAGCACAAGCCATCACTTAGTTGTGGGTGACACTTTGGTTAGTGTCACTTTCTCTAGCGTGTTATCTGCACCCTAAGAATGAGAATCCCAGAGACGCTGCCTCAGAGGGCGCTGGGTTCCCATTCGGACCATGGATGACAGCTGTATGTGCAGTATGTGTGTATATTGAGGGCCATGGATGGCAGCCATATGTGCAGTATGTGTGTATTGAGAGGGATTGCGAGGACCCCCAAGAGTCAGCTATGGGCCTGAATCTGAATGTGAAAGTCTGGCTGAAAGATACAAGTTATATTCTCTGGGAGTAACAGTAAGGGACAGTTTTTCATTTAGAAATAGAGATTTATCTGAAAGATAATAGGAACCTTTTATCACACATTGGATGGCTTGATTATGCGTTGTGTAGATGTGTTAGAACAATAAGAGATCTGGGTGGGGTCTGAGATTTGGGGGTGAGAAGATGGATTGTTAAGAAAAAAAGAAAAGGGATTAGCAGTGTTTATATCTGCACTGACAAAGAATCTCTGGATCGGATCCCTCCTAAATCATGAACCAGCCACAAGGTTTCATCCTAGCTCTCTTTGGACAGTGAGTCTAAATGATCAATATAAGGATGTATTTAATTTTGACATTGTTTTATGTCCCTCACATGAAGTAAATATATATTGCTTGTCTAAATGTCTACCAGCTTTGCCTTTGGAAATGGATTTGTAACATTTCAAAATACGTCTTGACATTGGCCTTGGCAATGATTTCTTGTGTATCACACCCAAAGCTTGGGCTGCAAAAACAAAAATAAGTAAATATGACTATGTCAGATTAACACATTTCTGTGCAGCAAGGGAAACAATCAGCAAGATGAAAAAGCAGCCTACATACTGGGAGAAAATATTTGGGAACCATATATTTGATAAGGGGTTAATATCCAAAATGTATAAAGAACTCATACAACTCAATACACATAACCCAATTTAAAACAATTTAAAACCCAATTTAAAAAATGGGCAAAGGACGTGAACAGACATGTCTCCAAAGATAACAAAAATGGTGAGCCGGTATATGAAAGAGTGCTTAACATTGCTCCTCAGGGAAATACAAACCACAGTGAGATATCACCTCACACCGATTAGAATGGCTGCCATCAAAAAGACAAGAGATAATAAGTGTTGATGGGAGTGTAGAGAAATGATAGACTGTTGATGGGAATGTAGTTGGTGCAGCCATTATGGAAACAGTATGGAGTTTCCCAACGAAATTAAACATAAAAATAACGTATTCCTTCTCTGGAGATATACTCAAAGGAAGTGAAATTACCACCTCATAAAGATATCTGCACTCCTGTGTTCATTGCATCATATTCACAATAGCCAAGATATGGACACAACCTAGGTGTCTGTTGACAGATGAATGAATGAAGAAAGTGGAATATTATTCAGCCTTAAAAAGGAGGAGATCCTGCCATTTGCACTACACGGATGGACCTAGAAGTCATTTTGCTAATAGACACAGAAAGAAACATGTTGCACAGTCTCACTTATTTGTGAAATCTAAAAAAGAAATAAAAAGTGAAATATACAGAGATAGTGAATAGAACAGTGGTTATGAGGGATTCGGTGGAGGGTGAGGCAAAAGGAGAGGTAGGTCAAAGGATGCCAAGTAGCAGACACGCAGGAGGAACAAGCATGAGACATAAGATCCATCATGAGGACTATAGAGAGTCATAGTGTATCGTATTCAGGATTTTTGCTAACTGAGTAGATTATAGCTGCTCTGACCACAAGGGGAAGGGGAAAATGGGTAACTATGAAGATGACAGATATGTTCACTATAGTAACCATTTTACTATATACCCTATCTCATCGTAATATCATGTTGTTAGGATGATATACACGACAGAATTTATCTTTTTAAATACAGGTAAATATTGAGACTGGGAAAAATGTGCCTTAAGAAAAAACCAAATGCAAGTTATTAGCCTAGAAAGCCATTGACCTCCTTTTAAAATGTTTCTCATCAGATGGCCTGGAGAGATGCTAGACAATTACCAATCCAGAAAGTGAGAGGCGTTGATAAAGCCTCCTGTTGGCAGGCACCTTAGAAAAGGCCACGCACACAGGGCTTGTGGGATGCGTAGAATTGTCTACACACGGTGGCCTACAATGGGCTAGTCGGGGCCTGAGAGTTGCCCCCTATGGTGCCTTTACTGTGCCATGAGGAATGCTTGCTGCCCTCAATTACCTAGGACCAAGCCCCACTCCTTCAAGTCACTGCATGAGCCACTCCTCTGTGAAGTCTTCTTTAGTGCCCCCTCCCAGAGCTGCAGGCAGCTTGTGTGTGCCTCAGTTTCCTTATCTGTAAAATGGGGATAGTAACATTCCCTTCCTCACAGGATTCCTGGGACCGTGACATGAGTTAGTACCTACAAAGCACTCAGCTAACAGAAGTGATTATTAGTGTTAAGACATTTTTCATCATCCTCTGCTGCAATTGTTTATTTCTCATTGCGAGATGGTGAGCTCCTTGCAAGCAGTTCTTGTGATTTATTGGAGCACAGTAAACATGCATTGACTCAATAAAAGGTCATGTGAATCCACCAGCAAATGGGTGAATGAATGAGAGGATGAGCAGCTAGGTGGACCAAGAGCCACAGCCCAAGAGGCCCATGCATGGCAGCTGCTCCCATACACAACCATTGCCTTTCTGAAAGTTTAAGCAGCTGATCAGAGCAGGAGCTCGGGCTTAGTACCCATGGCCTGACAGTCACCTCCTCAGAAAGCTCTCCCTGACCAGCAAGCTCAATAAGCCCCTTCTGAGGAACTCTCTCCTACATCAGTCTTTCTTCTTCATTTCACTAGCTAAGGTTATTATTTCATTTCTTCACATTTCTTCAGTTACTCGTGTGCTTCTTTACTACCTTTTGTACCAGAAAATAAGCTCCTGAAAGCCGGGACCTTGTCTGTTCATCCCTGTATCTTCAGTGTCTTGAACAGTACCTGGCCCAGAATTGATGCTCAATAAATATTTGATAAGGCCAGGCACAGTGGCTCATGCCTGTAATCCCAGCACTTTGGGAGGCTGAGGTGGGCGCATCACTTGAGGTCAGGAATTCGAAACCAGCCTGGCCAACATGGGAAAACCCTGTCTCTACCAAAAATACAACAATTAGCTGGGCGTGGTAGTGCATGCCTGTAATTCCAGCTACTCGGGAGACTGAGACCTGAGAATCTCTTGAGCCCAGGAGACAGAGGTTGTAGTGAACTGAGATAGCACCACTGCACTCCAGCCTGAGCTACAGAGTACTCGGTCTCAAATAAATAAATAAATAAATAAATAAATAAATAAATAAATAAATAAATAAAATGTGTGATAAACAAATGACTCCTCTACCAAAAGAATGTGACCTAGGAGAACAAGCTCTCCTTTTGGAGGAGAACTGCCATCCCTCTAGTCTGCCTTCCGACTGTGCTAGCATATTCATCCGCACTGGGCCAGCCACTAGACATCATTCAGACTGTGTTTGCATTTTCCAAACCATTTGCAATGCCAGGAATTCCATCAGGTGCTTTCAAATTTGAGTTATAATAAATGAGTAACGATGTGCTCCTTCTCACTAATAGCTTCAAACAAAGGAATCTTCAGTAACCTTGCATCTAACATCTCCTGTTTTCTGGGATTTTTTTTTTTTTTTTTTTGAGATGGAGTCTCACTCTGTTGCCCAGGCTGAAGTGCAAGTGCAGTGGCACTCTTGGCTGACAGCAACTGCCACCTCCTGGGTTCAAGTGATTCTCCTGCCTCAGCCTCCGAAATAACTGGAATTACAGGTGCCCACCACCACACCTGGCTAATTTTTGTATTTTTAGTAGAGACAAGATTTCACAATGTTAGTCAGGCTGGTCTCGAACTCCTGAACTCAAGTGATCTGCTCACCTCAGCCTCCCAAAGTGCTGGGATTACAGGCGTGATGAGCCACCATGCCTGGCCACCTCTCCTGCTTTCAGTCTGCAAAATGCAGGTTTAAAAATACATGTGACTTTCAACAGAATTTTGTCTTTTCTAAAAAATAAGGTGACTGTTACAAGAAGTAACTATCTGATGTATGTCCCATGTGTCTTCTGATGGTCATGCAGAAAGGTAATGTGTGTGCACAGCTGTGAGTCTAAGAAGCAAAGATGCCATTCCTCTAAAGTGCCTGAAATACCTTCATATGCCCCTTTTGGCTACATTCATAATAACATTAATCTACACCTGGTTTTCAGTGTAATTTTGGGTAAGATTCAAAAAGGAAACACATACAAGGCTTAATAAAGTTCCCCTCAGTAGGAAAATGGAAAATTATCTTTTTTCTGTTTCAGACTTGATGCCACATTTTTAAAAACAATGTAAATTTGCTTTTACTATTTAATTGTTCTTTAATGGAATAAACATAATTAGGATTTCCCCTCCTAATGCATCTGAGCAAATTGAGTAAGAGGCTTCATACTTACCGGTGCAGTTCTGAATCTGGTGATGGGGTTGTTGATGGAATATTAGAATTTACTGGGTGGGTGGCTGTGAAATGAACCTTGCCGGTATATCCTGGAATATTTGCAGCACTAAAGTGAAGAGTTAAGAGAGGAGGAAGAGAGGAAATTAAAATGATGATTCGTGAAATTGTCATGGTAACTAGCACCCAAATATGAAAAATATAAAGAAAGATGCAGTCTAATTTTTTTTTTCCTGTATAAGGTGTGGAACTTGGGCTGTCCAAAAAGGAAACAGTGCAGGCCTGGGGCATGCTCAGGCACAGGTACTTAGATAACAGCCCTACGCTGGAGTCAATAAAATGTATTTCAAGTTCACATTTTCCTAATATTTTAAATTTCCATGTCTTTGATAAACATGACTCACTGCTGACTCTGTTTCATAATGAAGGAAGATATCAGGTCTTCACAGAGCAGCAGACCTATATCCCATATATATTTCTGTAATGCAGACTCTAATATTAATGAATATGCACACTTACATTTACAACATTGTTACTTTTATCAAATATCTTTCTTATCACCATTAATGTACTGTACTACAAATTTCAGATGATTTCCTAAAATTACCCATTGGAAACAAATGTACCCCAGCATTAATTCTACAACAGTCTGTTTCGTTGAACTCCACTGACTCTTCTGCTTCCCTCTTCTTTTCTCCACCAGGGACAGTGGGAGATAAAAGGAAAACACAAGCGTGAAGAAGCCATCTTCAGTATGTGTAAAAGCTCTCTCTCTCCAGAAAGGGCAAACGAGTATTCAAGGGAAAGGTTTAAGTAGGTAGTTCAGAGGAAGGAATGTGAAGAATAACGAATATTCTTGCCATGATAGCACACAAGGTGGTTTACACAGATTATTTCCTAGGAGGTGGGTAAGGCTTATGGGACAGGCCCAGCGTGAAGCTCCGTCCTGTGTGCTGCAAGGAGTTGAGGAAAATAAGATTTAAATTGTATTTCAAAGTCCAGGAACACACCATTTGCAGATCATGAGGCTCTGTGTAACAGCCTACCATCTTTGCAGAGTCGTATCAAGGCCTTGGCCTCAGCTCACTGTGCTGGCTTCAGGAAGGAACGAGAAAGGCCACCATCATGAACTTGCCCCCAGTGAGGAAAGGGCCAGTGGGCAGCTTGCACATTTCACTCATCTCAGTGGCTTTCACTTGCCATCCTTGGGCCTTTCTCTGAGAGCAGGACATCCCTGTGGCATGGTTCCCTATTCAAATTGGCGCCCAGACAAAATGCAACACAGTAGCAACAAGCAAACCTCTGTGGGTGGTGGAGGAATGGTTCTTCAGTGGCTGTCTTGGTTATATCCACGACCTTCCCACACGACCAGTAAGCCAAACAAAGCCTTCTCCAGGAACCACTTATCTTAGGAGTAATTTTCAAAATTTGGAACTTATAGGAGTTGCTGTGAAAGTATCAGGTGACAAGGCAGGCAGAAGAGAGGTTAGTGAAAGGGATGTGTGCTTAAGGGTTGGGAGGAAGATTCAGATCCCGGTTCCCCATATCATCTCTGGGATCTGGACTAGACATAGTCTTTTGGAGCCTGCTAGCCTCAGCCTGACCCCAGGTAGTGATACCAACCAGAAGGGCTTGGGTGAGGGAGAAGTGGAAACAATGAGAAGGATTCACATTGCAATTTCTTGGTGCAATTGATTATGTGCAAATATCAAAATGTTAGGGGGAAAATACGTATCAGGCAGGGAATTGCACTAGTAAATCTCCTAATTCTCTTCCAGTTATGTAATTTATGACTCTGTTGGTGATGACTTACTGGCTTGCAGGTGATATAATCAAGGACACCCAGAGACTAACAAAGTGAAGGGAAATTACACCTATGGCAACAGCAGAATAAACAGTACAAAATAACCGATTTTGTGAGACTAGGAAAGTAAGGCAGCTAAAGACTGGGGGAAGCTCACTGCATCGAGAAGCAGGCTTCTGTGGCAAGTCTGACTCTGCCCCTTAACCAACTGTGAAGTTTTACTCCAGTGAAGAAAGCTCTCTGAGCTTCAGCTCAGTCAACTGCAGCATGAAGACAACAACACTAACTTCTTAGGGGCACTCTGGGGATTAGAGTAATTAAATGAATGTGAAAGCAGCTAGCAAATTGTTAGCACTTAGTAGATGCTAAACTAATTTCAACTGAAATACAGTAATTTAAAGAAATAAAACATTTACAAAATAAAGGCCATGCACATGGAGATTGCAAAGTTTATCCAGTACAGACAGCTGAAAAGATGCTGAGACAGAGGTTTCCAATAGTGCTGCACACTGATATCTCAGGGGCATCTTTAAAGGTACCAATGCCTGGCTCCCACCCCCACAATTTTTTTTTTTTTTTTTTTTTTAGACGGAATCTTGCTCTGTTGCCCGGGTTAGAGGACAGCAGCACAATCTCGGCTCACTGCAACTTCCGCCTCCTAGATTCAAGTGATTCTCCTGCCTCAGCCCCCTGACTAGCTGCTGTTATAGGCATGTGTCACCATGCCCAGCTAATTTTTGTATTTTTAGTAGAGATGGGGTTTCACCATGTTGGTCAGGCTGGTCTCGAACTCCTAACCTCGTGATCCGCCCGCCTCGGCCTCCCAAAGTGCTGGGATTACAGGTATGAGCCACCGTGCCTGGCCCAGCCCCACATTTTAATGTAACTAGTAAGTGGTGTGGCCTGAGCACTGGGACTTTTGACAGCTCTCCAGATGATTCTCCTGTGCTGCTAAATTCAGGAACCTCTGTTTTAGAGTCACACTTTCAAGCTTGCTGGAGGGACCTAGGTGAGTGAACTGAAGCTGCCGAATTCTAGGCAGTACCCTGCAGGATTTCTTGGAATTTTGCTGGAAAAGTGCAGATGTAAGTTAGAGAGGTAACCCAGAATGAGGCAAAGTTATTCATGCATGCGTCTCTCTGTCAACCATTCATTAAAGCTTCCATGCATGTTACAAAGGAAATCCCCTCCATCTGTGTGAAAGGTTTTTTCCACTGCCTTTGAAAACACCTGCAGAATTAAAATGCCTCTAAAGTCATATCCTCCCATCAGAGCAGTTAAGAAGTCAGAGGGATGGACGCAGGCCATCTGTCAATCACATGAAGGGCTTGATAAAAAACATTGCACAGCCTCTGTGCCTCTGTGGCATGCAGGTTATTGATGCTAAATGGTATCATATGTTACATTGTCTTAATGCTGTTAGATTACATCATATTTCATAATAACATATCATGAAAGGTAGACTGATTAGCTGCTCAGGCTTGAGAATGAATTCACTTGCATAATAAACTGCCAAATACTTGAAAACGAAAGTCCTCACCCACACTACTTCTAAATCTATTCCATTTAACCCTGGCACATATGGCCATAGCAAGGGGAATTTTGCCATCTTAAGTGCAATACGGTGACCTTATATTAAGAGGAGAATACTCTCTGGGGGACACTTTAGACTGCTGCTGATGGGAGATGTTATTTTTCAGTTGGAGGGAACAAAGCTATTAAAGATACTGAAACATACAAGCTGGGAAATGGATTTCCAGATTAGTCGCATGTTCAAAGAATTCCACTCCCCATTTCAGGAAAGCAGAAAGAAGCAGAGACCCACTTAAAAATAAGAAGTCTTCATTTTTACCTTTGCTCCACAGCTTCCAGTCCTTTAAACACCTTATTTTGTACTCCCTAGTTCCAAATAAACCAGGATTTTGTTCACTAATTGATACATTTGGATTGTATCAAATTGTATCAAATGTATCAATGTTCACTAATTGATACATATTATTGCCCAAGTCTGCAACGAATTGGTTCTCAACAAAGCATGATAAAATAGAAATTAAGTAATTTAAGAAAATCAAGAAGTTTAGTAACTCAGAAGAAGGGAGTACAGATGGTATGTAAGTTAAATATGAGACAGGAAAAATGTGGAGAAAACCATGTTATATGTAGAATATAGTAGTGTATATGTGCATAAAATTTAGGCATGCATACAAATTCTCACTCTACACTGTAAACATGACTAATAGTCATTGAGTATGTTCTATGTTCCAGGTACCCTTTTAAATGCTTGATGTAAGTTGACTACACAATAATCTTGTGCCATAGGTCCTATGATCATGCCCATTTTATAGATGGAGAAACTGAGGAAGAGAAAGTCTAAGTAACATGGCCAGCACCAACCAAGCTTGCAAGTGGCAGAACTGGACCTCAGTGTGATTGAACTGAATGGGAAAGGCCATTGGCATTACTCCCAGCTCAGCCAGGAAAGCCTTGTTAGCTCACAGTGGGCTGCATTTATACGGGGTGGGGTGTAAGTGCAGGTTCAAATCAATGTGACAGTCTTTTATTTAGAGCCATTCTATATCAGGTACAGTTCTAGGCAGATATCAAGCTGATTTAGCTCCCAACAGCTTTCACACTAATATTTTTAATTTAAAAAATGCACATTTAAATGTTTAAAGATCCCAAGTGGACAAAGACCGTGGATACGACATAAGGGAGGGGAGTGTGAAACAGACACATTTAATTTCCAGGGCTGCCCTGACCAGCTGTGTGAACTTAGACCTCAACTGAAGTTTTCTCAGGCATCTCACCTATAATTGGCCATCAGTCAGGGTAGCTGCACTCCCTTGGAGGGTGCTGGGGACAATGTGATACAAGTAAAGGCCTGGCACAGTGTCCAGCGTGCAGCAGGTGCAGACCCATGTGAGAGGAGCAGCAGGAGATGGATGGGAGTTAGGGTGGGCAAGGGGAGCATAAAGTGGGAGAGGGAGGAAGATTAGTAAAGTCCAGGCTTGGACGTTAGGGAGGGTCAGCCTAGAGGGCTGGGAGAAGGGAAGGACTACGGAGAACTGTAAAGGGGATGCAGCTGGAGAGGAAAAGACAGGAGTCCATTGTGAGTTGGGCTTTTGTCTGATTTTATTGTTCAATGACAAATGCAAGTAAAACTGGAATCATTTTGCAATGACTTTTGGTCACTGGATTGCATTTTTCTGAATATCATAAGATGTCATGGCCACAAGATATATTTTAGGAATTACAGGTTTATTGATTATTCTCTTCATCTAGTGGGTATAGTCTTTCCTCCTGTT